GGGAGTGCCAGGGCGGGGAGCCCGGCGGCACCGAGCCCCGGCCCCCCGCGCTGAGGTAGAGGTGAACGTTGCTCCACGCTCACCTGCTTTGGCACCCAGGGGTGCAAGCGGGTGGAGGAGGCGCCCGCCTGGCCCCAACGAGGTAGTTCGGAGTGCCCACTGTCCCCTTGCCCCCCATCTGGGGACCCCAGCAACTGGGCAGTCTTTGGTGGTGGGGGGCACTGCTGGGCCTCCCTGCCCTGTCCATCCCCCCCCAACAAGCTCCTTCCAGTGCACAATCCCCACTCCCACTCCAATAATCCCCATTTCCACCTGTCACATCTCACTCCCACCAGTCCCACCAGTTTCCCCAGTGTCTGCTCCCCAGGGTGAACCCTTAGCTGAGTGAGGACTTGGGGGGCTGAGATGCCACCACCCTGGGGTGGACAGCGGACACCCAGGACCCTGGGGGTGTCTCAGGATGGAGGCAGCAAGCCCAGGCAGTGCAGGAGGGCTGTGCAGGGGGGTCTGCAGAGGGTAGGAGGTGCAGTATATCGGGGATGCAGTATATAGGGGATGCAGGGTATAGGGGATGCAGTGTTTGCACTGAGGGTGTGCACAGGTGAGGTAATGTGGGCACCAAGGGTGTGTGCACTGGGCATGTGTGTAAGGGATCTAACGTGCAGGTGATGCAGTGTATGCATCGAGAATGTGTATAAGGAACGCCATGTGCACAGAGATGTGTGTAATGGAGACAGTATGCAAGAGATGCATTGAGTGTGGCAACGTGGAGGATGCAGTGTACCCGTCAGGATGTGTATAGAGGCTGCACTTACATGCACCGATGAGGGCACAGGGGCTGCAGTGTGTAGGGGGTGCAGCATGCGGGGCCCAGGGGTGCCCCGGGCAGCAGGGCAGGCAGGAGCTGTGTGGGGGATGGATGGATGCACCAGGGAAGGATGATGTGTATGTCCAAGGGCATGCGCGTGGAAGGGACCCCAATCATGGGGATAAGGGACAAAAGGGGCCACGTGGGTGCTCACAGCCTTGCATGGACACAGCTCAGTATTGCAGCAAGAGGCACCTTTGGGTCCCCCATCCCACCTTGGTGTCCCAGGTGGGTCCCACAGCTCAGCCCCCCCAGGCTCTGGGGACCTCCATCGGGGGAGGGGTGTGCATCTCCCCTTATGGCAAGGTGCTGGTGGGAGTGTGGTTGTGCGAGGGGGCTGGGAGCAGTGGGTTCGGGGCAGGCATGGGGTTCGGCCGGCTCTGGGTGCTCCCTCCCCTGTGTGCCGGGGGTGCTGGGGGCCGGCGGGCAAACAGGACACCTGGGGAGCAAAAGCAAAGGGGGTTATGGCAAGCCACGGGCTGGGGGCCCTGCTCTCATGGGCCCCAGCACCCCTGGGGGCTCCATTCCTCCCATCACTTTGGTGTCTCCGCCAGCCCAGCCACCCTCACCCGACTGGGGCAGCCTGTGGAGTGTCCCAGGACCATCCGCCTGGGAGCCCCTGACCTTTCCAGCCTGTTAAATATTTAAGTCCTGAAGGAAAAGCCATAGATTTTAACTGGGGGTGTCTCAGCTGTGCAGGCAGGGAGCTGGAGGGTGTGGGATGAAAGGTAGGTGCACATCGGTACCCCAAAGAAGCCTCTGCTCCAGCAAAGCACCCCAACATCTTCCCCTGCACCCAATACCATTCTCTGCAAACAGCCAGAGACTCTCAAGCACACCAGCATGGGGTGACCCCAAATCCCAGCCCTGTCTGCTCCTCACCCATGGTGAGGGTGCCTTTTTGTACTTCAGCGGCCAAGTGCATTTGTCCATCCGTCCATACCTCCATCC